ATTTTTACAGTCTTTATTTTACAGTTAAAATATATGTTTATCAAATAAAGTCTAATGTTACAACTAATTGGGGATCCCTTTAAAGTTGTTTTGAAGTGTCCTCCACTGAAGCAAGTTCGACAGATACCACTGGAAAACATGCATGTTTTTTTTATATTTTATATAAAATTGAGAATAAATGAAGAAATAAAGCCGTTTAAAACACAAAGGATAACTCCTCAAAACAATCAATTTGTCTTGTTGAGAAACTGCCATAATTTCATTTATTTTTAAATCAGATATGAATTGTTAAAAAGAAGTATTTTAATCACTTGTTTGCAGTGTGAACGTAGCCTTAATTTAAAACTCTGGCAGTAAATGTAAAATTTTTTCTTTTCCTATAATTTAGCACATAATGAGCAAGAAGAGTCGTTCTGTTCAAGAGCACAAATTTCATTTGTTTCATCGCTCTTCAACGTTGGCCCAATTTTATAAACTAAAGCCTGAGAGAGGAGAAACAAAACTAAAACTTCATTTTCATAATGTACTCGTGGGTAAAAAAAATCCACGTGACGAGTTTCAAACAATAAAAACATAAACAGACACTGAAACAAGTTTTGTTTCTGTAAAGTCTGAGAACACATTGTGCCAGCTTATCTTTAAAGAAAATAATACTCCAGCTTTTATGTCGCTGTCACAAAAACCAAACGCTTGCTCTTCAAAAACCCAGAGAAAGAGAAAAAAAAAGATCGCTGAAAACTAGACGGTTTTGTTATCGCTTGAAAAGAAACGAGGGACAACGTTCAAATATTTGTGCAGCTTTAAACGAGGCGGGAGAAAAAAAACTGAACATGAAAGATCAGAGAATTAAAAGATATTTTAAAAAAGACGATCATTTCAAGTTTGAGACATTTAGTGTTTTTAAAAAGGGAAAAACAAACAGTGATGTCTTTAATAAAAGTGACAAATAAGTGTGTGGGGTGGGTGGTAAATGGGCGACGAGGGCGGAGAGGAAGACAACAAGTGGCTAAGGGCTAAACAGCTGCAACAACAAGAGATTTTATATATTAGCAGAAGGTTTGTGCTGCAGAAAACTCAGCTCCTCTATAATTATAATTCTACTCAAACGTCCGTCCAAAGGGGATAAAGTGTTGACAAACCTGCCGTATGCAAATACTGGTTAAGTTTCTGTAAACAACTTCTCAGGCTGTGGTTTGCAGCTCCTCTAGAATTCCCTKAAATTCACTTCATTTTACAGACAAAAGCAAACAAAACCAGCCTCCCACTCTCCGTCTTTAAATATTAGCATGACTGGAAAAAAAAACTATTAAAAATTCAAAGATGTGAGAGTTTCTTTCCGCCTCAGGAAGACTCWATAAAGGAAACCGCAGTTAACTGCTTTTAATCTGGTCGAGCTGCAGAAGTCGTACCTCTGTTGGCCACCATGACTTTCTTGATGGGTCTGTACTGGGTCTGCGGGGCGGAGTGGGCCGACCGGGAGTGGAGGCACGCCCTCCTGATGGCCAGCAGGCCCAGGCCGCCGCGGAGGACGGCAAACTGGAACATCCTGAGGAGGGAGAGGAGTTTTAGAAAAACATCTTGATGTGGGTTTGAACACGGAGTGGGATTACAGAAAGAGACGCACATTACCAAATATATCAGAGTTAGATATAAAGGCTCATTTTCATCTGTAATCCCTCAGAGTATAACACATATAATACAATAAGTTAATAAAATTGTTCCATTAAAAATAGATA